AGCACCAAAATAAAAATGCAGAAAATAATTTTCTAGTAAAGAAAGAAAGAAAGAAAGAAAGAAAGAAAGAAAGAAAGAAAGAAAGAAAGAAAAGAAAGTCAGTCAGTCCCAGGTGGGAATTGTGCCTTTCCCTGAAATAGTATTCTAGCTGGGTCTAAAAATAGTAGCTATGGCATCTACTAAAAGGAAGGGAAAAGACTTTTACAGACACATCTAAAGGAGATTGGAAAAAATGGAAAATTTATGGCTGAGTCAATGGCAAAGATTATGAATGGAAAGATTAGTTACTGATAAAATTGAACTTGAGATAAGAATGATTTAAAAGTACTAAGAATAATTATATTTTGATTGAAGTTATGATCATTAGTGCTCATAAAATTATCTCATTTTTATACATTAATAGTACCAAAGAATAGAAGGCATAGTATTACAGATATGGAGAAAAGTTAAGAAATAAAATTGAAGTATCATTTCTGCCTCTAGTCATGATGGACTAGATTAGGATTAGTCTTCCTTAGAAACAAATAAGAATCAAATATTTAACTTAAGATTATTGGAAATCTAACAAGGTAGGAAGTAATTACTGGGCCAAGTTCTGGCAGAAGAAGGAAATCCAAAGATTTAAGCCTCCCATTTTAGGTTATTTTGCCCCAGTAGCTTTTGTAGAGCCAAAAGAAGTAGTTAAGAGGCTGAGCAGCACTTTTGATGGCCTCACTGAGGTAAGAGGACAAGAGGTGGAGGCCAGTGCCTACTAAGTGTGAATATCTCTTTAGTACTCTGCTCTTTTAGCATGTAACTTGAAGAACTGCACCTTAGGAATAAGGGTGAACTGAAAGTAAATCAACTCTGATGGAGGCTGAAGCACAACTTTGTGTCATTATGAGGGCCAGAAAAAATGTCAGTCCCTGGATTAATGAAGTCTAGTAGTTCCGGCCACATGTGAAAAGCAAATGAGAGTATCTGGGTGGTTTGTTTCTTATGCTTCAAATTTTTATAGAGAGAGCTCATTAAATACTATATCCAGTATATTATTAGAGATGCCTGGGTGGCTCAGTTGGTTGAGCTTCAAACTCTTGATTTCAGCTCAGGTCATGATCCCAAGCTTGTGGGATCAATGCCTGCGTTGGGCCCCATGCTGAGTGTGGAGCCCTCTTAGGATGCTCGCTCTCTCTCTGTTTCTCTCTGTCTCTGTCTCTGTTTCTCTCTGCCCCTCTCTCCCACTCATGCTCTCTCTAAAATAAAAAAATAAAAAATTAATATCATTTATAATTAAAGATGACCAACATTATAAGGAAACTGAACAACATGATGAAAACTGGGGTTTCGGGGGGAGGAATTAAAAGAAGCCCATCAGAACTTCATTTATTTTAAGTATTATTAGAGGCTTTAAATAACAACATTTATTATGTTCTTGGGGGATAAGAGATCAGTCTGAATATTTTAGCAGAGAACTGGAAACTATAAAAATTGAAATCACATATTTGAAAATGAGCCAGCGGCGCCTGGGTGGCTCAGTTGGTTGGGCAGCTGACTACAGCTCAGGTCATGATCTCGTGGTCTGTGAGTTCTAGCCCTGCATCAGGCTCTGTCCTGAGAACTCAGAGCCTGGAGCCTGCTTCCGATTCTGTGTCTCCCTCTCTTTCTGCCCGTTCCTGCTTGCTCTCTGTCTTTCTCTCTCTCTCAAACATAAACAATAAAAAAATTAAAAAAGAAAGAAAATGAGCTAAATAAAAATTCTCAAATGGAAAAATATAATAACTGGAATTTAAAACTATTTAAATAGGCTTACTAACAGTTTTAGACCCTGAAAAAGAATTCGTGATGTTGGAAATAGGTTAGAAGAAAATATCTTTAATGAAAAATGGAAAGGGAAAGAAGTTTTTAAAAAAATAGAAAGGGTAAGGGGTGCCTGGGTGGCTCAGTCAGTTGAGCATCTGACTTCGGCTCAGGTCACGATCTCACAGTTTGTGGGTTTGAGTCTCCCGTTGGGCTCTGTACTGACAGCTCAGAGCCTGGAGCCTGCTTCAGATTCTGTGTCTCCCCCTCTCTCTGCCCCTCCCCTGCTCATGCTCTGTCTCTCTCTGTCTCAAAAATAAATAGAAACATTAAAAAAAAATTTTTTTAATAGAAAGGGTAAGAAGTTGTACATTAATTGAACCCCAAGAGAAGAGAACCCCAAGAGAGAAAGCAATATTTGGAAAGATACTTGCTAAGAATTTTACAAAGTTTGTGAAAGACACAGATTCAGGTATTCAACAAGTCCAACCCAAGTAGAATAAACAAAGGAATCCACACTGGAGTGAAAAGGCTGATTAATTTGAAAAACAAAACAAAACATACACATAAGTGCAGCCAGAAATGTCACATTATTTTCAAAGGAGCAGTAGAAAGTTCTATGGCTGGCTTCTCAACAAAAAAGGAAACCATAAGACCACGTAGAATGTGAGGAAAAAATAGCATCCAATCAATAATTATATACTCAGTGTAATATCCTTTTAAGATTGAAGTTGAATACACATTTACAAACAAAAACCTGAGGGAAATCACTTATCAAACTATCACTAAAGGTAATCCTGAAGGATATGTTTTGAGTAGAAGAAAAATTCTAATGGAAGGTTGGAGATGAAGGAAGGAATGAAGAGCAGCAAAAATGGTAAGTAAATCTAAATGAATATTGACTCAATAAGATAAAAATAAAACCTCATAGGACTAGATAATAGCATAAAAGAAGATTGCTAGCTCCCTAAAAGGTCTGGAATTTTTGGAGAACTGGTTTGTTTTTTGGAAAATAGCCTATGCCAGTAACTTGGCAACTCATAAAGTTTACTTCTTAAATAGCATTGTGAGCAAAACTTCTTATCTGGGGACATGCTTCAGTGTATGATTATTAACAATGTGGGGCACCTGGGTGGCTCAGTAGGTTGGGCATCTGACTTCGGCTCAGGTTGTGATCCCATGGTTGTTTGGTTCAAGCCCCACATTGGGCTCTGTTCTGACAGTGCAGACAGAGCCTGCTTGGGATTCTCTCTCCTTCTCTCTGCCCCTCCCTGACTCACTCTCTTTTGAAATAAATAAATAAAAAAAACAAAACAACGTTTATTATAGAGGTTTCCATATCTCAAGTAAAATTAGTTATGAAGTATGAAAACTGGGGAGTAGATTGCCTAGTTCCTAGTGGAAATTTTATTTCGGGAAAATATAATGTGAATTATGTCCCCAAATCGGTCGTTTTGTTGTTGTTCCTAATAGTGAAGACTAAGAAATTTACTGTAGTCCAGGTTTTTGTTTTGTAAAATTACTTACAGAGAAAATTTAAGTTTATTGAATTTATTAAACTTCTAAATTTTGCGCAAAATACTATCTGGCTATCTTTACAGACAGTTCTTATTCCACTGTGCTTTTATTCAGCAAAAGATTGTGTGTGTGTGTCTGTGTGTGTCTGTGTCTTAACCATCTGTACAGGTTTTGTCAAACTAAGAGAATGGGATAGATCATATACAAGGTTTTAAAATTTTTTGGGGGGGCGCCTGGGTGGCTCACTCGGTTGAACATCCAACTTTTGATTTTGGCTCAGGTCATGATCTCCTGGTTTGTAGGATCAGGCCCTGCATTGGGCTCTGTGCTGGCAGCACGGAGCCTGCTTAGGGTTCCCTCTCACTCTCTCTCCTCTGCCTCTCCCCTGCTTGTGCGTGTGTGTGTTCTCTCTGTCTCTCAAAATAAATAAGAAAGATTTTTTCTTTTGGATAGAGAGAGAGCACATGTGTGCGTGCGTGATGGTCAAGCAGGGGAGGGGCAGAGGGAGTAGGAGAGAGAATCTCAGGCAGGTTCCACACCCAGTGTGGAGCCCATCCCTGGTGCTCCATCTCATTACTATGAGATCATGACCTGAGCCAAAATCAAGAGTCAGACACCTAACCTACTGAGCCACCCAGGTGCCTTAGATCATATATAAGGTTTTTAGAACAAGTAGTTAAATCTTGTTTTATGCTGTATATGATTTCTTGATAAGTGTGCAGCTCATTTTATAGGCAAAAATTGTTCATGTGGTGCCTTCTGTAAAAATGCTAATACTGAATCTGAAAATTAGTATACACAAATTTTATTTAGTAACTTTATTTGCAAATATTACTATAGGTTTTCTTTCTTTTATAATCAAGAGGTTTTTAGGCTACTAGTGTGGCTTAGGGTATCATTTTGAAATTAAATTAGTCATTGTATAACATCAACTAAAAGGATATATTCAAACTTCATAGTGTAGCCTTTTGCTTATCTTACCAATTTCATTATTTACTATTCTCTTTACCCCCACTGGCCATAAACATTTTTTTGTTGTTTTTGTTGTTTGCGAAGTATGAACTGTTCTTGCATTTGAATGTAATTTGGGGGAATTGTTTTTAATTTTTAAATTGTTTTTAACACAGTATAATAGTGAGTTGCTTTATTTACCTATAAATTTTTAACCCATTCAAGACTTATTTCAACATGATCCCTCTTTAATAGTTAATTGTTTGCACAGACAAAATTAGGAGCTCTGTTCTTTATTCCATTATCATGCTATACTCTCTTTTATTCTAATAAATAATAGCAATTATTTATTTTCCTATCAGTCTCTAACAGAAGACTTCTGAATGACTTGAGGGATTGGGTATTTTTGATATCTGTCCCCAAAGATGAGTATATAGTAGGTATTTAAATTATTTGCTGAATGAACAAAGAATGATATGATAGATAAATTAGCAGGAAAGGAATCTGTGAAATCTCTTGGGAGAAGAAATCTCAAAAGCAAACTGGGTATCCTTTTTTTTGGTGGGGGTTGGTTTAGAATACATTGTGTTTAGAAATCATGGCATCCTCTGACTTTGAATTTGCCATATAAACAGGGTCATTTTGCAGTCACATTTTACTTAAATCTGTCAGTGAAATTTCTGAAGGAGCTAAAACCACTTTTAAATAACGATTTTCTATGTTTTTACACTAATTTAATTTTTTTTTAATTTTAGGAAACACTCCTTTACACCTTGCTGTGATGTTAGGAAATAAAGGTTAGTAAATATTTCCTTTCTTATGTTTAACTTCATTCATGTATTTTCACATTTAGTTAAAGCTTTTTAAGATGAATTTTGTCTTTTGAGTTTTTCAAAATTAACCTGATTATTTTATTTGCTAATTGAGTTAAGAGTCAATATATTAAAAATAATAACATTTTCTCATTTTCTGTAGTTCACCTCAAGAGTTAGTGGAAATCCTGTACTAACTTTATGCTTTTTGAAACTGTGTGTTTTTTCTTATTTGGTTATTTTATCAAGGAAGTATTTATAATTTCCAAATATTAAGATATGTTAACTTTTATAATACTTTTAATATTCAGAGAGTTTTATAAGATTCTTTAATATGGACTGTTTTATATATCTAAACGCAGAAGTCTACACCTTTTGTATGTTAGATGTTTGTAAAATCTTAATATTTACTTATTCTTTAAAACAAAAACTTCATAGATGATTTAAAAGATTTACTTTGAGAGAGAGTAAGACAGAGTGTGAGCAGGATAGGGGCAGAGAGAAAGGGGAGACACAGAATCGGAAACAGGCTCTGGGCTCTGAGCTGTCAGCACAGAGCCTGATGGGGGGGCTTGAACTCACGAACGGTGAGATTATGACCTGAGCTGAAGTCAGACGCTTAACCAACTGAGCCAGTCAGGCGCCCCTGAAATATTTACTTTTTAAGGTTATTCCTAGAAGTGATAAAATCTTTGTTATCTGGTTTCCCAATAATCCTGGAGAGTGAGGATTTCAGATAGGTGATTAGTAACATTTTGAGTGCTGGATTTTTAAATTTTTGATGTGTTTGATAAAAACCTTTTAAAAACATAATCTTAAATTTTTAAACAGGCTAATGAATTTTTGTTAACATTTTTTCTTTCTGATAACCTAGAAGTATCATTTTGGGACAACTATTATTGATACAAAGTATAATACAGTTAGTGTAAACATTTGATCTGAATGTATGCAGATCCCAGGGGTGTTATCAGTGCTTGCTTTGTTGAAAAACAAAATTTTTTTGTCAGTTTGGTTTTTAAGTTTATATGCCTAAGCACATGATCTGTAGGATAATTTAATGTTGACTTTAATTCTGTATAAATTGGTGACTCGTATTTTGTTTTCATTTTTAAATTTATTTTATGCTGTTTTTTTTTACCTTCTTGCAAGAAATATGAGTAACTTCAAAGTTAAGAGAGATTTATTAAGAGGCTACATATTGTAGAAACTCAAGAAATGGGGACTACCTATGTCTCAGGAAGAGAAGTAACTGAGATCATTTGGGAACTCAGCCATTCTCCCCTCACTCTGTCTGTCTACCTACTTAGCTACCATCTGTCTATCTCTTCTGGTGTGTCTGCTGTTCTTTATGTATATGTAAATTATAGATATAATATTTATAACACTAAGAGGAGACAAAGCAAATATGATAAAATGTTAACAACTATTGAACCTAGGTAGAGAGTATTAGTATTTAAATGTTCATTGAGATCATCTGTTTTTCTGTATGTTTGAAATTTTTTATAGTATTGAAAGAGAAACAGAAATGGTATTGTTATGCTTTATCATAGGTTTAAATTTTTTTTGTTGTTGATATTATTCATTTTTGAGAGATAGAGCATGAGCGGGGAAGGGGCAGAGAGAGAGGGAGACACAGAATCGGAAGCAGGCTCTAGGCTCTGAGCTGTCAGTACAGAGCCCGACACGGGGCTTGAACTCTCAAATTGCGAGATCATGACCAGAGCTAAAGTTGGACGCTCAACCGACTGAACCACCCAGGTGCCCCTATCATAGGTTTATATTAGCATGTCTAAATTATGTTTCACAGAACATTAGTTTTATGGCATACTAATAATATTTAGGGGAAAATAATATTTCCAGGTCAAATCGATTTGGAAAATAGTGGGTTTAATAACTATTAAGCAGTTTTCTTTATTATGGACTTTCTTAGAACTTTGATACGCTTATATGCACTGTGACCTTCTGAGTTGGGGCAGGTGTTGGATATAGAGTCATTATTCCCCAAAGTTATCTGATTTTTTTCCACATGTATCCTGAGAGATTAGAGTTCGGTGGAAGGTATTTTGGGGAAACATTTGGTTAAGTGATTCAGGATCTGCACATGATGTCAATATTTGCTTTTTCTGAGTCCTTTTCATATAAGGTAGGTCCAACCGTTAATAATACTGATCCATTTTACATTAAAACAATTTTTTTAATGTTTATTTATTTTTGAGAGAAAGAGAGACAGAGCATGAGTGGGGGAGGGGTAGAGACAGACAGAGACACAGAATCCAAAGCAGGCTCCAGGCTCTGAGCTGTCAGCACAGAGCCTGACGCAGAGCTCGAACTCATGAGCTGTGTGATCATGACCTGAGCCAAAGTCAGATGCTTAACTGCCTGAGCCACCCAGGCACCCCCCATTTACGTTTTTTTATTTGTATATTCTTTTTTGCTTTTTTCTTTATGACCTTTAAACATTTTTGAAATTTGATTACACAGGAGTGTTATTGAAATGTGTAGTGGAAGATAAAACATCTACCTTATTGGGGTGCCTGGGTGGCTCACTTGGTTAAGCATCTGACTTCAGCTCGGGTCATGATTTCATGGTTCATGACTTTGAGCCCCACATCAGGCTCTCTGCTGTCAGCACAGCACCCGCTTTGGATCCTCTGTCGCCCACTCTCTCTGCCCTCCCCCACTCATTCTCTCTCTCTCTCTCTCTCTCTCTCTCAAAAATAAACGTTAAAAAAATATATAAGGGTGCCTGGGTGGTTCAGTTGGTTAAGTCCAACTCTTGGTTTCGCTCAGGTCATGATCTCATGGTTTTGTGAGTTCAAGTCCGGTGTCAGGCTCTGTACTGATGGTACAGAACCGGCTTGGGATTCTCTGCCTCCCTGTCGCTCTGCCCTGCCCTCTCCAACTCTCATTGTCTCTGTCTCTCTTTTTTTTCTTTTTTCTTTTTTTTTTAATTTTTTTTTCAACGTTTATTTTATTTTTGGGACAGAGAGAGACAGAGCATGAACGGGGGAGGGGCAGAGAGAGAGGGAGACACAGAATCGGAAACAGGCTCCAGGCTCTGAGCCATCAGCCCAGAGCCCGACGCAGGGCTCGAACTCACGGACCGCGAGATCGTGACCTGGCTGAAGTCGGACGCTTAACCGACTGCGCCACCCAGGCGCCCCAAACAATATTTGTTGATTGATTTAAAGAGAAGTACCCCAGGACTTTTGCACTTTTATTTACTTCTGTCATTCATCTTAACTTAATAACTGTTCTTTTCACCATTGAAATCTGATTTTTTTCTGTATTTCTGGGTCTATTGACCATGTTGGCCTTTGAGGCTGGGAAGTTGTTGAACTATAGATTTGAACTGAAATGGAAAGAACATCATACTTAAGGTTTCGGGAATCTTTAGAAGAAGAAATAGAAAAGAAATCTTTTCTTATCCTTTTGGTTAGACATCATAGAAAGGTTCTTCAGATCAGTTGCTTCAACTTTTAATTCATTCTTTTGGATCTGCAGTTTTAAATTTTTTGTCTGAAATAACTCTAGAGTTATTATAATTTCTCATTCTCATAAGAGTGTGTCTGGATGTTCTCTTTTGTTTGCACTGTCCTATTTATCTTATTCTCTCTCTTTGTATTTTATTACCTTTATAAATCTTGCTTATTTATATGTGATTTCTGTTCCTCATAATTTCATTTTATCCATATTCCTTAAGGCCCAGCTTCTTTGTTGCATTTATATATTTTCTTAAAAAAATAATTTATTGTCATGTTGGCTAACATACAGTGTATATAGTGTAGTTTTGGCTTCAGGAGTAGATTCCTGTGATTCATCACTTACATACAACACCCAATGCTCATCCCAACAAATGCCCTCCTCAATACCCATTTCCCATTTTCCCTTCTCCCCCAAGCTCCCTCCCCCATCAACTATTAGTTATCTGTCTTTAGAAGTATGTTATGGTTTGCCTCCCTCTCTGTAATTTGTTTTTCTTCCCTTCCCCTATGGTCTTCTGCTAAGTTTCTCAAATTCCACATATAAATGAAAACATACAATATCTGTCTTTTTCTGACTGGTTTATTTCACTTAGCATAATACCATCCAGTTCCATCCATGTTGTTGCAAATGGCAAGGTTTCATTCTTTTACATTGCTGAGTACTATTCCATTGTATAAATATACCACATCTTCTTTTCCCATTCATCAGTTTATGGACATTTGGCTCTTTCCATAATTTGGCTATTGTTGATGGCACTGCTGTATATAAACATTGGGGTTCATATGGCCCTATGAATCACTCCTGTATCCTTTGGATAAATTCTAGTAGTGCTATTGCTGGGTCATAGGGTAATTCTATTTTAATTTTTTGAGGAATCTCCACGTTGTTTTCCAGAGTGGCCGCATCAGTTTGCATTCCTACCAACAGTGCAAGAGGGTTCCCATTTCTCCACATCCTCGCCATCATCTGTTGTTTCCTGAGTCGTTAATTTTAGCCACTCTGATTGGTGTGAGATGGATCTCAATGTGGTTTTGATTGTATTTCCCTGATGATGCGGGATGTTGAGCATCTTTTCATGTGTCTGTTAGCCATCTGGGTATCTTCTTTGGAAAAGTGTCTATTCATGTCTTCTGCCCATTTCTTCACTGGATTATTTGTTTTTCAGGTGTTGTGTTTGGTAAGTTTTGATACTAACCCTTTATCTGATAGGTCATTTGCAAATACCTTCTCCTATTCTGTTGGTTGACTTTTAGTTTTGTTAATTTCTTTCCTTTGCTGTGTAGAAGCTTTTTATCCTGATGAAGTGCCAATAGTTCATTTTTGCTTTTATTTCACTTGCTGTCAGAGACCTGTCAAGTAAGAAGTTGCTGCGGCCGAGGTCAAAGAGATTGTTGCCCGTTTTCTCTCTAGGGTTTTGATGGTTTCCTGTCTCACATTTAGGCCTTTCATCCATTTTGAGTTTATTTTTGGGTATGGTGTAAGAAAGTGGTCCAGTTTCA